CCTGATTATCCAAGAGAGGCTGTAAAAGAGCTCCAGCAGAACCACCTGCTCTATATTTTGTTATTTCACAATGTCCAATGGGATCATAACTATAGACACAACCTTTACCATTTTCATCTAATCCACCAAGAATATTACTTACATAATAAGGGAAAAAACGTTTATAATATAACATTGTTGATAGTATTTGTGCAACTGCTGGTGTTGGCATTTCTTTTTGATGTTCATGCTCATACATCTGTTATATAAAACGAAGATCATAATATATAAAGTCATCATATCATAAATATTCAATTTTAATAATCAAAAGAAAACTAATAAATTCTATCATTTAATATATTTTGAAATATTTTTACCTGCATTCGAGCAGATAAAATTCTAGTTAAAGTAAGTGTATCACACCAACAACCTGAACAACCCAAAACAGTTTTTGATGATAAAGGAAATAGTTTTTGTTGTTCACGCGTATAAATAGAAAAACCTGTACTGAGACGCGTATCTGCTGCTATTACACAAAAATTATCTCCTGCAAGAGCTATAACACTCCTATAATTATAATATATAAAATGTATAAAAAATAAAATTGTAATAAAATTTAGATAATAAATACACAATATTTATTAAGAATAGATAATATATTTGTAATAAAATATTTATATATTAATCTTAAAAAAATTTAGGTTATATTTAAAACTTACCCTCCATTATCAGCATAAGGATTGAAATTTCTCATTTTTGCTCCTTCTGTAGCATAATCTGATAAAGATCTTCCTGGAATTTCACTTAAAAAAACCATTTTTTTCAATATTTTTTATTAAATAAATTTCAAACACTTCTCACCCTGAATGACAATACACTTTGGAGTTAAAATGGCAAGCAAAACAGCATTATTTTCTTATATCAATGAATTATACATATTCAGTGATTGTCATAAATCTGATTGGTTAGTTTATATTTGGCTCTGCAAGAATAAACCAATAATGAAAAATTTATTTTGCCATATCAACAAATAAAATATTTATTTTGAAAGAATTAAAAATATTATTTATTTATTTAATTATAATTAAATAAATAATTAAATTATAATTTAAATTAAAGTAAATAAATAATAAAAAAGATAAATAATTATTAAATATAGCAAATAATATAATATGTAATAT